ACCTTATACAAAAATTACACGAGTGAATCAAAACTTACAAAAAGTGCGGAAAATACACACAGAGTTATTGAAATTTACACAAACTATACAAAAACTACACAATCAACAAAATATTTACACGATATAACAAGAAAATTACACAAACGTAAAAACGAAAACCGCACAAGTGAGAATACAACATCGACATAATATATACGATGCATCCTCGTTGCGCACATTTCATTAATATTCGTTAGAAAACAAGACCAGTGTGGCTTGGATGCTTGAAACGTTATAAAACAAGAGGATGAGTAATGTGTTAACATAATATTAATCTTTTAAAAAAGATTCAGTCTTTCAGAATTACGCTAGACTCTCAAGAATATGCCTAACGTGTTATATGCATGTAAAAATTGACAGGCACACAATATGCATATAAATTAACATCCCCGATTAAAATATAGATAACGTTAAAAGGGGGTGCATATAAACTGTATATGATCAGTTGTGTGTTTAATTGTTAGATTTTTTGTTTCATTCCTCTATATAGCAATATCTTTTGAAATCTCTGTGCAAGGTTTTCAAGCTAAACACAATGAATATTCTATGTGCGTAATAATGATATGCGCAGCTGTATGCGCAGTAAAATTGTTTGTGTAAATATTAGTTTCCTCTGCTCGTGCAATTTTTGATTTTTGTTTGTGCATATTATACACCTAAATCGTGCAAAAAATGTCGGATTCGTGTATTTTTCATTTTGTTTGTGTTAAAATCTTTCAAACTATACTGAAAGGATAAAGAAACGCATATTAAACTTTTGAGTTAAATTAAAACAATTATTTCAAATATGTTTTCCAGCATTGTTATCATACTTTTTAATTCATCTTTAATCAACAAGTTACCAAAATTTTGTGTCATTTTGACTGATAATTCCTGAGATATTGATATCAATATGTCGACACCCCCCAAAAATAAAACTAAAAATTCTCATAATCTCCCTTTCGTATCAGTAACAAACTTGATTTTCCTGTGCATTGAGTTCACCAGAGCATTTATCTTTTTCATAGCATTATTATTCAACCCTTCCGACGGTAGTCTTAATAGCTGAGATTAGCTGTATTATTCCAAAGCCAACAATCCCCCCGCCCAATCGAATCCCAAGAATTTTCGATTTAGGATAGAATGAACAGAACCCAGCAGGTTTGGTACATGTGAATGTTTGTAAAAAAGTCTTGACAAACACTAGCTACATTTTTCCAGTGTAAGCATGCTAAAAAAAATCACGCAAACGACGCGTACGAGCGCGTTTGATAGTAAAATCGACGTAAAGTAGCCAAGCTCGCGGCCCAAATTAGAGCAGAGAGTTTCTGTCAGTTTAGGGTGAAAAAAGATCAGTATGATTGTCTGCTGTATAAATATCTGTTTCAATGATAATGCCTTGACAATAACCGAGGTGGCATGATGAAAAGCCCTATCTTGTTGTGACGTTGTTACGCGCCAACGTCACCGTCATGGTTGGTTGGAAACATTTTAAGTTAACTCTCTGACAACCAGAAAAACTTTTATTTGGTTGAAAAGTTGAAAACAATCTGTACAGCAGCATGTTTTTGCCTTTTTATTCACTTATGCAATATTGAATTCAATTTCTAAACCCACAGTAGCTTCCGTCAGCCATACCACGATTGCAAGAAATTTATACTGACTGCAAATATGCAAAAACGATGTCTAATGCATCGTATGGCACTACAAAATTTTATCACAAAATAATCCTCATCAACATGCACGTGTTTTTGACTTTTTATCATTTCCCCTACGTGACGCCATACATTTCATGGTTGAGTAGTTTTGATTAGCGATTTTAGTGAAAAAGTAGCCAAAATAAACATCTGACCAATTTTCATAATTTTCGGCCACATATTTAAAAAAAAAATTCCCATATTATGTTCTTATGCGTTTCTTTTTCCTTTCAGTATATGTGCAATTTTTATTTTACTCGTGTAATTTTTTCATCTAGCTCGTGTATAAAATCTTGATCGTTGTGCAGAATATACTTTTGAACCAATCGGCGTGCCATAGCCTTCCTTGTTACATTCATAACAATGCAATGGTTTGTCTCTTGCTTGTTTGTCATAGGTTTTCCTGACTGACCGATTCAGCTTCAGCTTTTGTATCTCGTTGGTTAACGTATTTATGTTAGCCTCCATGGACTTCGTCCATGTCTCAAGACTGGTCTGGCTAACCTCTGAAGATGAGTGTTCTGCTGCCGATACTCGTAAACGGCCTTTTGTTTCTAGGTTTCTGCTCTCTGCTCGATTATAAGCTTCGAGTTCAACGGCTAGCCAGATGGCTTCATTCAGGTTTTGAGGACGAGATTGTTTGAGGCGGATTCTCATCTCTGAATCAATAAACGCATCTATGGCCAGAGTTTCTCGCACATTACCAGGTGCTGATGGTTAGGCCAAATTTGTTAGTCATCTAATGGCCTGACCTAACTCTGGTATTGACTAAGCTGCAGATCTGTAGCTCTCTGGTTGAAAAAAATTCGGATTGTCGACTATCCGAATTTTTTTCAACCATGCAGAGAGCTACAGATCTGCAGCTATGACACAGCTAGGTAAAGACCCTTCTTATCTTCTGTCCAGCCCTTTACACCAGCACAAGCCTCAAAATGCGATTTGTAGTCAAGCCAGGAAGTGGTTCCGTCATACATGGTTGGCTTGATTATATGGCCTGTCTTGGTATTATCTGTCCCTATTGATTGCCTCTGTGGTTTTGGCCCCAAGACCATAAACTGAGAATAGACTTAAGTCAAACTTTCAAACCAACTTATGAAATAATTTTGTTAATCAAACAAACTGTTCATTATATGTTTAAATTAAAATGTTATACAACATTGCGAATTTTTAAACAAATGCATTAAATAAAACCCAAGATATTATAAATCTAAATTTTGTCTTAAGTTTGACTTTGTTCCCAGTTTATGGTCTTGGAGCTTGGTGTGTCAAATAGATGGCCCGTCACAATGTCGTCAATCCCAGCACTTGGTTTGTATATAGCTTGCTTTGCTGTTGTTCATTCTAGCATTGCTTTATTATCATTTGTAAAACTAAGGTACGTTTTGATTTGAATGATTAAATAGAAATAATTTAATAAGTATTTTTGTATATTGTATAAAATAGTGATTTATTAGAAGAAAGTTTAAAATATTTTCAAAAAGGCTGGCTGAAAAAATGCGAAGATTTAAATTCTGTGTTGTTTTCAGTTGGAGGGACTGGAGGTTGAAGGGGAATATGAAGAACTGTTATTCAAAAAAGGAGAAAAATTAACCAATTTCAATTCAAGGTTTGTACACGTGTCATCACGGAGTAATGATCAAGAATAGATATCAACGAATTTCTTAGAATAACTTCGTACATGTAATCTGAGATGCTAATGTTAAGTTTATACATATAGTTTTCAATAGTTTTGAATAATGAAGTTAGAGTACCTTAATTTTTTTTATATTAGAGAGGATGATTTGTTGGAGGCAGAAAACAAAGATGGGAAAAAAGGAACTTTTCTTAAAAACTTACGTCGCAAGGTATTAAAGACTTTGGCAGAAATTTCACAGGCTCAAATATTTTGATGAAGGAAAGAAAAAGAGATCCAAGGAACCCACCACTGTTGTTCAAAAGATTTTAAAGGGACATGGGCACAATTTTCAACCGATTTTTTTTAAAACCAGTTTTAATGTTTACAATTTCTATTGAAGGCAATTGTAATGATCAGCAAAAATTTGAACATCACTTATTGATTTACAAAGGAGATATAGAACTTAAAATTCATATTAATTTAAACAAGGCTTGTTTTTTTTTTTGTTGACATATAGAAAGTACAATATTATTCATATTCATTGAACTAAATCGAGGTAAGATATTGAGTCACAAACAAGTCGATGAAGCAAGAATATCAAGAGTTGAAAGTCATAATTTCGTTATCATAAAGGAGGCTTTGATTTAAAATGCATCCCAAATATCTCGGAATGCTTTCTATGAATATGAGTAACCAGAGCCCTTCTGTTCATCATAAGAAAAGATTTGTTCCTACATATATCCCTGTAAAAATCTAGTGCCCCATTCATAGCTTAACGCCATAATTTGATGACACTTTAATTTACACTATCCGGGATGCATGCATATTGATAAGACTAATCATTGCCATGTTGCTTTTCATCACATTTTTGTAAAATCTTCCCCATTATTTTCCTATGTAAGTAAAACTTTGATGTATTATTGTGGTCCCGTCATACTAGTAACGAAATCAACAGAACTTGCTGATCAATATCAAATAGAGTTAAAAGATTATTTTGCTCAGTCTTATACATGTAACACTGAAAAGATTATTTTGCTCAGTCTTATACATGTAACACTGAAAAGATTATTTTGCTCAGTCTTATACATGTAACACTGTCCAAAAAGATTATTTTGCTCAGACATATAACACTGGATAATTAATATGATCGTATTAAACGCTAGAGGCGCGGATCAAGAATTTTTTTCAAAGGGGGAGGGGGTTGAAGAGGGGAAGAATTATTATAACGTACTTTTTACACATGCATGTAGTTAAATAACTCAATGGGATACAGGGTTCAGATCAATCTGGGAAAAAATACTTGCATGAATTACCTAAAAGTTTTTGAAAAAGAAAGGAAAATGAACCCAAAAATCCTGTTTTTTAAAGGGGTGGGGTTTCATTTTATTTTCACAACCAAATTTCTTAATAATTATATTGCAAAATTAGCCTTTCACTGAACATTTACTATAGTAAAAATACAACAAAAAATGAGACTTTCTTCTTTTTCTCTCTTTTTTGGAAATCCAAAGTGGGGGGTTGTAACCCCCGTTACCCCCCCCCCCTCCCCTGGATCTGCCACTGCACTGAAAACAGTTCTAATTTTTTAATACTGATATACTAGTATTTGTATTACGAGTAAATAATACAGGGAATTCATCTGATTTTTTTCATTCCATTATTTCAGATTAGAAAACAAATCAAATACAACACAAAAATGGGCTATTCTAAATTGAAAAATGATGAAGAAAAAGCAAAAGAACAATTTAAAGGGTAAGTACCTTCGGAAAATTAAGTACTTTAATTACTCAATGATTTAAACAAAAGGGGCTGAACGATCCTATTTTATCTTTTTAACGGTGCCACAATAGGGAGTTTTTACATTTAAATATTTAACAAATTCCTTTGAAAATCTTCTCAAGAACCAACGGACAAAAAGGGTTGAAAAAATTAATGTGGAAGCGCTTGACCTTTCTTTTCATAAATAAAAAAATATCTCATTTACTATTTTAATGTAGGGGATATTTTTATTTATGAAAAGAAATGTTAAAAACATCAAGCCCATACTTTTTGTCATTAGAGAAACAGGCGGATTCAATAAAAATGAAAGTCGTAAATTTGTATGATTTGTCTTTCGTTATTTGCAAAATTATTTTGCTAAAATAGATAAGATTTTACCCAATAGTATCACAACGTTGATGCTTGAGTCTGTGTAGTTTTCGGAGATCGGGTCTTTTAATAATCTGTTGGAAAAACCATTGAAACTTATTGTGCTCCGTTATAACATGTTTGTACCCATAAGAAGAAGAGTTTTTTTTTGTAAAAAGAACTTTTACATGAAAGATGTCTCTTGCAGTAGCCTTTAATTAAACATTTTAGATACCGGTATACGAGTATAATCGACGATGCTTTTATCAATTAACAGTGCTTGCTCATTTTACACAGCTGTATTTCCAATTGATCTCGAATTAAAAAATAAACATTATAGAGTGTGACACATCAATTTCAGGTTTGGACATTAACTAATGATAAACATTTATGACAAACAAGCAACTAAACCTTATGATAAACATGATGACTTCAACTTTTCTTTCATCAATTTCCATTAATTATGTAGCATTTTCACTGGCATATAGATTTTATATTTCCAAGTTGATTTGATACCCGAAGAGCATGTTCTACGTACGATCAAACTTTTTTTTTTTAAAACTAGGCAAGTTATTGACAAAAAAGTTAATGAAACAAGAATATCAGGGGTGTCGTTTAGAGGCGTCTTTTTGTGAGTCCTATGGTCTATACAATGCTCCTGTAAGCAATAGCAATATATCTGCAATGACTTGAATGTTGACCAACGTTTTTCTTACATATTGCCAGACCATTTATACACTGAGTTGAAACGGAGCAAACAGCGGGAGTGACTAGTCCATAAAGGATGCTTAGTTCTTTATGGTAGCTGATCTAATCTTTAAAAAATAAAGCAAAATACATGTAAATGCATTATTATTCCTAATTGATTTTTTTATCAAATTCAAGGAATCATGAAGAGTGATAAGTTAATATATAAATTTTAGCACCGTGTATGAAAATATATATCTAAAAGAAGTGGAGGTTGAGCTTGGCTTTTTAATGGTGTTGCAGTAAATCTTGCAGTAAATCTACAATGCAGGCAGCTAAATACAAAGTAGAGGAGGAGGAAGAGAAGAGTGAAGAGGAAGATGATAGTGATGATAATAGTGAAGATGATAGTGAAGATGATAGTGAAGACGAGGAGCAAATAACTCATAAGGTGAGTATTAAACCTTTTTTTTATTTCATGTTTCTGCATGTGGTTTGTTTTTGCAACTATCCTTTATTTTCCATTTTTATGTTTATAAATGCATATCTACGTAAGGCACAGTGTATTTCTAATGATCATCAAAAATTTGAATTTTATTTATCGAAATAAAGGACAGATTTAGAACCCCATACCTTTGTTATGTAAACAAGGTCTGTGCCATGTTTTTGCTTACATTGGTTAAATATGCTAATAGATGTTAAATAGATGCTAAAATCAAAGCAGATTTTCAATTTGAAAATTAGTTAATTCTAATTACGACAAGACATTTTCTAATGATTTGCTTCATCTCGTTTTGTTAAAATATGATAATTTTCTATATGTTAACAAAAAAGGCATGACCCTTGTTTAAAATATGAAGAATTTGAGGTTCGGTTTCTTCTTTGTAAAACAACAAATGATGTTCAAATTTTTGCTGATCATTAGAATTGCCTTAATTAGGAATTTCAAACATTAACATTGGTAATAAAAAATCAGTTGAAACTGTGCTTATGCCCCTTTAGGACAATGCACATATAAAATTACGTTATTAATTCTTACATGCATTATGATTAACAAACGATCACGTTTAGATTATCAAATAAAGCAAAGCCAAACGAAAAATTTTGTCTTCACCTTAAAATTTGCAAATGAATAAATCGACAATAAGAGTAAAAATGAAATTTTTTTAAAAAGTACAATATTATGATCATGTCTAAGAGTGAAAGACAAATAATAAATATTATGTTTTAAATAATTTTAAATTTGTATGCGACCAAAAATATCATTTGGTTAGTTTTTTGTATTTGGAATGACTAAAATTAAAGAAAAAGAAGAAATTTGGTTTCGTAATTTAGAACACTTTTGTTAGAGTGGTCCAAATAAAATTATTAATTCTAAAATATACTTTAACTTTCGAATTTATGAGACTAAAAAATCAAAATGTTTTATATGATTAACTAGAAATGAGATGAAGATGAATTTGAATTACGTGTTTCAGAATGTACAAGTGGAGTGTCTAGATGATTATGAAGGTGAATGCGAGGAGGATTTGTCCTTCAAAAAAGGAGAAATTTTATCTATTATTAATACAAGGTTTGTCTTCATTTGAGGTATTAGGCAAGATATCTATCAGGAAGATTATAGTATCCTCCTTGTGTGTGGATGGATGAGTGACTGCGTGCACATGTTATGGAAATATCCTTAATACTATATATCTAAGGACTGATGTACTCTGCATTGCTTTGTCCTTGTTAAGAATCACATATTAAAGGATTGAGGAGCTATATGAAAACCATCTATCCCTCTGTTTTCAATAATCCAGGTGAAAAAAAGTTTGATAAATTTGCATGATCAGTACGTACTGGTCCCAGCTGACAAAGCAGGTAATAACATTGTCTTTGTTTGTAAGGCTCATTAAATGAATTGTATTTTAGAAGAACTTTAATTCCAATTAATACTCATTGGTCCCTTTCTAAGGAATAAATTCTCCACATGTTAGTTTTGAATATCTTAATATCCCAAAGAACCAAAATGAATTTGAACTATAGTAACCAAATATAAAAGTGAATTTCTTAGTGCTTTCTATATCTATATATATATATATATATATATATATATATATATATATATATATATATATATATATATATATATATTGGATTCCGAAACTTCATAAGAATACCAACAAATAAACATACATTGCGGGTTCCAGTGAATGTGCAACCAGGACTGTTTCTTTACTCCTCATGATTTTGTTAAAACAGATTCTGATTGCACACACAACAAAGTACTCTGAAGTTGACATCAAAGAGATGCTTGAGTTTCTGATAGACACTATCTATGTGGTTTTTGGAGACCAGGTATTCCAACAATCTATTGCAATTCCATTGGGTACAAATTGCGCTCCGTTATTAGCAAGCCTATTTTTACATTCATATGAAGCAGAATTTGTGCAAAATCTTATCCATGAAAAGAAAACACTTGCTGTGGCCTTCAATTCGACATTTAGATATATTGACGACGTATTTTAAATTAGCAATGGTAATTTTCTCCATTTGTTGATGGGATATATCCTGTTGAGCTTGAGATATAAAATACCAGCGAGTCTGATACATGCGTTTTATATTTGGGTATTTTATTTGAAAAGACCTTAATGGTAGTCTAACAACAAGATCTATGATAAATGTGATGACTTTAACTTTTCTAATGTCAAAGTCCCTTACTCATGCAGCAATATACCTTTATCACCTGCATACGGAGTTTATATATCTCGGTTAATTCGATACACAAGAACATGCTCTACGTATGATGAAACAAGAATTTTAACAGTATCATTTTATAAGTTCTATGGTCAATACAATATAACTTGTCAGCAAATACAATTTCAGTCAAATGCTGACTGACGATTTCATACTAATTGTAAGTCAACTGATTTGACGACGGATTTTTCCGTTATTTTCCGATCATTACAAGGAGCGCACTTCGGGTGTGACCGGTCGGCAGGGGATGCTCACTCCATGGCACCTGATCCCACTTCTGATGTTTTGAAGGTCCGTGTTTGCTCTACTCTATATTGTATTGTTTATGGACTTTTTATCTAGGATTCCTTGTGTGAGGATGACAAGTAAATAAAGTCTTCAATATGAAAATGAAGTTAAAATATCTTTAAATTGATTTATTTTTAGAGATGATGGTTGGTGGGAGGCAGAAAATAAAGATGGAAAAAGAGGATTGGTACCTAAAACTTTCCTTAAGGTAACAATGTGGACAAATGTGGACAAATTTCACAGCAAAATTGGTGACCTCGAACTTAGCACAAATAAAAAACGCGTGGAAAAAATACTTCTTAAGTACCTTGTCAATGGCTATCTCACATTTTTCACAAATAGTCTGAACTTGGTATAAAAAGATGCTTTTAAATTTCTTATTTACATAATTTATGAAGTTATTTAATAAAGCCATTCTGTGGCTTTCAATAAATCGATAAATAGGCGATTTTTTTCCACCTAACATTATTCATTTTCATTCCTTCGTTGATTGATTTATCCTTGAAATAAAATGCCACGGAGATTGACACCCTTGTTTCATACTGTTCTAGAGTAATACATTGATGGCAAGAAAGCAACTAAACTGAATGAGAAACATGATGATTATGTCTTCTATATATACTGCCAACATCCCTCATTAATGTGGTAACATACCATAACAAATATCACCTGCAAGCATACGTAGTTAACATTTCCCAATTAATTTGAAACGCAAAAAGCATTATCCACGTACGAAAAATACAATGACATTGTTATACCCGCACTTTCTAAAGAAAGTTCGGGTATATTGTTGTTACTCATGTCCGTCCGTCCGTCCGTCCGTCCGTCCGTCTGTCTGTCACACTTTTCTTCCCTGAACTCCTCCTACATTTTACACAGTAGCTTAATCATCTTTTAAGAGATGGTTGGTGGTGTCATGTAGATGTGCAGTAAGGTTTCGGAATTTTGATTTTGCCCCGGGGGGTCAAATGGGGGTCGAAAAATGACGTTTTTTGTGCAAAAAAGTCCCGTCTTCCCTGAACTCCTTCTACATTTAACTCAGCAGCCAAATCACCTTTTGGGGGATGATTGGTGGTGTCATGTAGATGTGCAGTAAGGTTTCGGAATTTTGATTTTGCCCCGGGGGATCAAATGGGGGTCGAAAAATGACGTTTTTTATGCAAAAAGCCCCATCTTCCCTGAACTTCTCTTACATTTTACTTAGCAGCCTAATCATCTTTTGTGGGATGATTAGTGGTGTCATGTAGATGTGCAGTAAGGTTTCGGAATTTTGATTTTGCCCCGGGGGGTCAAATGGGGGTCGAAAAATGACGTTTTTTGTGCAAAAAGTCCCGTCTTCCCTGAACTCCTTCTACATTTTACTCAGCAGCCTAATCACATTTTGGGGGATGATTGGTGGTGTCATGTTGATGTGCAGTAAGGTTTCAGAATTTTGATTTTTCCCCGGGGGGTCAAATGGGGGTAAAAAAATGACGTTTTTTATGCAAAAAGCCCTATCTTCCCTGAACTCCTCTTACATTTTACTTAGCAGCCTAATCATCTTTTGTTGGATGATTAGTGGTGTCATGTAGATGTGCAGTAAGGTTTCAGAATTTTGATTTTGCCCCGGGGGGTCAAATGGGGGTCGAAAAATGACGTTTTTTGTGCAAAAAGTCCCGTCTTCCCTGAACTCCTTCTACATTTTACTCAGCAGCCAAATCACCTTTTGGGGGATGATTGGTGGTGTCATGTAGATGTGCAGTAAGGTTTCGGAATTTTAATTTTGCCCCGGGGGGTCAAATGGGGGTCGAAAAATGACGTTTTTTATGTAAAAAGCCTCATCTACCCTGAACTCCTCTTACATTTTATTTAGCAGCCTAATCATCTTTTGTGGGATGATTAGTGGTGACATGTAGATGTGCAGTAAAGTTTCTGAATTTTGATTTTGCCCCGGGGGGTCAAATGGGGGTCGAAAAATGACTTTTTTTGTGCAAAAATTCTCGTCTTCCCTGAACTCCTTCTACATTTTACTCAGCAGCCAAATCACCTTTTGGGGGATGGTTGGTGGTGTCATGTAGATGTGCAGTAAGGTTTCGGAATTTTAATTTTGCCCCAGGGGGTCAAATGGGGGTCGAAAAATGACGTTTTTTATGTAAAAAGCCCCATATACCCTGAACTCCTCTTACATTTTACTTAGCAGCCTAATCATCTTTTGTGGGATGATTAGTGGTGACATGTAGATGTGCAGTAAGGTTTCGGAATTTTGATTTTGCCCCGGGGGGTCAAATGGGGGTCGAAAAATGACGTTTTTGTGCAAAAAGTCCCGTCTTCCCTGAACTCCTTCTACATTTTACTCAGCAGCCAAATCACCTTTTGGGGGATGGTTGGTGGTGTCATGTAGATGTGCAGTAAGGTTTCGGAATTAAGATTTTGCCCCAGGGGATCAAATGGGGGTCGAAAAATAACGTTTTTCATACAAAGAGCCCTGTTTTCCCTGAACTCCTCTTACATTTTACTCAGCAGCCTAATCATCTTTTGGGAGATGGTTGGTGGGGTCATGTAGATGTGCAGTAAGGTTTTGGAATTTAGATTTTGCCCCGGGGGGTCAAATGTGGGTTGAAAAATGACGTTTTTTGTGCAAAAAGCCCTGTCTTCCTTGAAGTCTTCCTTAATGTTACTCAGAAGCCTAATCATCTTTTAGGAGAGTTAAATATTTTGAAAATTATGTAAAACATCAACGTCAAGGGGTAACAAGATGTGTTTGTGAAACACTATGCGCCCGGCGTCAACAAAGTTCGAAAAAGCTATTTTTAGCATATAGTTCACAGTCAAGGTCACAAGGTCATTGACCTTGGTGTTATTTGTAAGAACTTAATTAGTGGGGTATGCATACTAAATATGAAGTCCCTATCTCCTATGGTTCAAAAGTTATGGCAAAAAGTAGAAAAAGCTATTTTTAGTATAAAGGTCACAGTTAATTTCACATGGTCATTGACCTTGGTGTTGTTTGAAAGATCTTTATTAGTGGAGTATGCATACTAAATATGAAGTCCTTATCTCTTATGGTTCAAAAGTTATGGCAAAAAGTGGAAAAAGCTATTTTTAGCATATAGGTCACAGTCAAGGTCACAAGGTCATTGACCTTGATGTCATTTGAAGGAACTTAATTAGTGCAGTATGCATACCAAATATGAAGTCCCTATCTTCTATGGTTCAAAGGTTATGGCAAAAAGTGGAAAAAGCTATTTTAAGTATAAAGGTCACAGTCAAGGTCACATGGTCATTGACCTTGGTGTTGTTTGAAAGAACCTTTTTAGTGGAGTATGCATACCAAATATGAAGTCCCTATCTCCTATGGTTCAAAAGTTATAACAAACAGTTGAAAAACCTATTTTTAGCATATAGGTCACAGTCAAGGTTATGAGGTCATTGACCCTGATGTCATTTGAAAGAACTTTATTAGAGGAGTATGCATACTAATTATGAAGTCTCTATTTCTTATGGTTCAAAAGTTATGACAAACAGTTGAAAAACCTATTTTTAGCATATAGGTCACAGTCAACGTCACAAGGTCATTGACCTTGATGTCATTTGAAAGAACTTTATTAGAGGAGTATGCATACCAAATATGAAGTCTCTATCTCTTACGGTTCAAAAGTTTTGGCCAAGGTTAAAGTTGACAACAGACAAACAGACAAACAGATAAACAGACAAACAGACAAACAGACAGGACAAAAACAATATGCGCCCCGAAAAATTTCGGGCGCATAAAAAAACATCGCATGCTGGGAAACACCTTGAATTCTTATGAGTAATTTATGTACATGTCAAATGTGAGAGTCATATCTCATCTCAATCAAAAGTTATAAGCAAATGCAACATTTTTGAAAAGTAGGTTAGGCTTGATCGCTTCAAGGTCAAGGTCACAGTGTAAAAGTCATGATTTATTTGGAAAGGTCTTATCACAGGTAATAATATACATGCATTATGATATGAATGCCCTAACTTTTCTCTTTCAAAATGATGAATTTATAACAATTTAATATTTTTGCAAGTTGGTCAAACTTCTAGGTCACATGTAAAAAAAAAAACCATGCCATTCTCACAGGTAAATATATATACTAATACATAAGTTTAATATGAATGTCTCTTCTCATTCAGTAGATATAACCGTGATAACCAAGGTTAAATTTATTGAGACACATGGACTGAGTCTGACATACAAATGTACATATTTCTATATGAATTGGGTAAAATTGGCCCAGTGGTTCTAGAGAAGTTAAAAATGTAAAAAGTTTTCAGACAAACAGATGGACAACACGTTACGACAGACATTATATGCTAAGGAAACCAAAAAAGCTCAAATGTCACAAGGAATGCACATGTGAAATAAAGAAATCCCTAGTAATTCCTGTTCAAAAGTTAATTGCCAAGGTTAATTTTTTTGTTTAAGTGGTTCAAACTCTAGGGTCAAGTTCAAACATATTTATACCTGTTGACAGTTCACAATGAATACAATATGTCATGATAAGTATGAAAGCCCTAGCACCTACTGATCAAAATTTAGGCAGAGTTTAAAGTTTGGTATTTTTCTGGTAAAATGTGTATCCCATGTCAAGCGATCAGAGGTAAAAATTAATGGTACCCAAATAAAAGGTCTTATTAAATTGTCACAAGAAATAAACCTATAAAATGTGGAAGCTATTTGTATAGCCCATCCCACTTAAAACTTATGGGCAAGCTAACTAGGATTTAATTTCTGCAGACTTATAGACAGACATACTAAACACAAGAAACAAAATATGTATAATAATTAATCAAATGGAAAAAAATATACTATTTAACTGGAATAACAAAATACATTGTTATTTCAGGGACAGGAAGTGGGTAGGAAGATTGGAATCCCCCCATCCCCCCCCCCATCGGGCATTTGCTTTGTTATTTAAACAAGACTATATACTGTAGCAAGTAAAAAATGACTCTTGACATCCTCTCCCTATAAACTTAGAAAACATTGACCTCACTATCATTGTTTTTTTATTTGTTTATTTGTTTTCATTTTTTTCTCCTGCTTGTCACGAAATTCTGGGCTGGAATTTTTTGACTGAGATGTGAACCCCCCTCCCTACTCCCGAAAAAAATTCTGGATCCGCACCAGTATTGGCAGTAACTGAATGTCACATCGACAACGGGAGATAACTTCACAATATGAAATTCGTCTAGTGTGGCATGCGATGATCTTTCACCCTTTTTAAACTTTAACCTAATAGTTTGGGTGTATTTTACCCCCCACTATACTAAAACTTCTACTTACCGACTCCCTGTGTCTCAACTTCATGAAATATAAATCCAATTATAACTCAAAATGAATAAATCCAATGCACACCAGACTGCAGCCATGTGCCATTTTGGCGAACCTTCGTCGATTCCATCACCTTATCAGATGAAGTGGGAATCGGCCGAGGTGTGCCAAATGGTGTTTAATCTATAAATATGATAATGGGTGACGCAACGTGATGTGATGTATAAATTTACATGTTCACATGTATAGTACAAGAACAAATTTTAAATTAATTCATAACAAACGATATTAAATTTTAACAAACCTTTTCCATCTAGCCTATTCCAAAAAGTATGTGCTGTGTGATTGTGGTGTCGAGGGGGGGGGGGGGGTTAGTAAATTTAAAAAGGTCCTATTATGAGCAAAACATATATCAAAATCTAATTTCAGACGCGGAACCAGAAATTTTTTCCGGGGGGGGGGGGGGTCCACCGCAGTCAAAAAAAAATCCTAACCCAGAAATTGACAATCAAAAAAAAAAACCTAAAGTAAATCTTACCCAAACGTCAAAAACCTCAAAAACCTATATCGTGGGGGGGGGGGGGGGGGGGGGGGGGGGGGGGGGGGGGGTAGTGGTGACTTCTATTGCCGCAAATTAAATGTTTAACTTTTCGTGTTTACCAGGGGGGGGGGATCTGCATTTTCCAAGGGGGTCCATTGTAACTTTTTCCTTGTTTTAGTATATACATTTTTTAACCTTGTAAATTCCAGGGGGGGGGGGTCCTGACCCCCCCCCCCCCCCCCCCCCCCCCCGACAGATCCGTGCATGAATTTACATCATTAATAAAATTCAGACTGGTATATAATGAATTAAACATGTATAAAATAAATATAAGAGGTTCTGAGTTATTGGTCACAGGGTCTGAGAATTTCATACTCAATTTGATGAATACATGTAAATTATAGAATTATTTTGACTATTTCTTTGGAAAGCCGCCCAATATGTAGGAGCGTGTATTTAGAGGCAAACACCTTAGTGCGGGTATTACTGTCTCATGACAGCATCTAGTTTACAAATGCATTCTATGGTTAAGTCAAATGGTGACTGATCGTAGTGTTTTCGTCTAAATTGCTAAGCCATCATTCTCACACTGGATCATATGTAGTACACTATGATTGTGACTGGTTGACGGGGGTGCTTATTCCTCCTTTTTATAATTAGAGGTTCAGGTTTGGCTCATTTGTACATTTGAGCTTGAATTCTGTTCGTTATATTCATATTTTATTATAATAATAACTTGAACCATTTTTTCTTCCTTTTTTCCAGGTTAAAAAAGAAATAAAGAATAGCCTTTCATTTTGGGGGGATAGAAAATCAAAAAATAATGAAGAAAAACATGAAAAAGTCAAAGAAGAACTTGAAAGGTACAGTCCCACCGTAGATAGTAAAACGATATTTATGAGCTAAAGTCACTGTACATATATTCACAAAAATATATTTCTCGTATATTATAATAGTATTCCTTGGCATAATATAGAGCAATAACCACAATTCGTGAAAATTTTGTCTCGTTTATCAAGAAACTATGACTTATGATCTGGAGAAAATTAGGTGTTGCAAAAATGAAGTGAATTACAGTAGTTTATGTAGGAAGAAGCATATTTGTGCCGTGTGTCCTTGTCATGATCGGGAAATAATGTCAAAATTTCACTGTGTGACGCATCTAGTTAAAGAGCATTGTTTTGTGAAATCTGAGACATTGACTTGTAGTATACTTTTACTTTAATTGTTTGAAAAGAATACGAACATCAATTTCTAAAATATATTTTCAAAATGATGTTTAACATTTTTTGTTGTTCGAAATTCACCCCTTTTATTGTATGTAGTTCATTTATATACTGAAAGGAAAAAGAAACGTATGATAGCATAATAACGAAAAATATTTAACTATGTGGCCGAAAATTATGAAAATTGGTCAGATGTGTATTTTGGTTACTGTGCACTACAATTGCTGGTCAAAATTAATCAACCATGAAATGTAAGGCGTCACGTAGGGGATGTGATAAAAAGCCAAATACACGTGCATGTTGATGATGACAATTTCCTGATCACATTTTGTAGTGCCAAGAGATGCATTAGAGTTATAGACATCGTTTTCCGGAATTTGCAGTCCTTGTGTGAGGATAACAAGTAAATAAAGTCTTTAAATATGAAAATGAAGTTAAAATATCTTAAAATTGATTTATTTTTAGAGATGATGGTTGGTGGGAGGCAGAAAATAAAGATGGAAAAAGAGGATTGGTACCTAAAACTTTCCTTAAGGTAACAATGTGGACAAATTTCACAGCAAAATTGGTGACCTCGAACATAGCACAAATAAAAAACGCGTGGAAAAAATACTTAAGTACCTTGTCAATGGCTATCTCACATTTTGTCTTAAATAGTCTGAACTTGATAAAAAAAAGATACTTTTAAATTTCTTATTTACATTATTTATGAAGTTTTTTTTTTAATGAAGCCGTTCTGTGGCTTTCATTAAATCGATAAATTGGCGATTTTTTTCCACGTAACATTATTCATTTTCATTCATTCTTTGATTGATTTATCCTTGAAATAAAATGCCACGGAGATTGACAATCTTGTTTCATACTGTTCTAGAGTCAATACTGTATACAGGGTTATTTTTGCCCCGTGTTATTTTCGCTCTTTTGCACTTGCGAGCAATTTTGACCCGTTTTAAATTCGCCCATTAAAAGATCTGTCTAAGAAATTATGCTGTGTAATTTGAATTCGCCCCGTTTTAAATTCGCACAATTAAGAAGAGGGCGAAAGGGGCGAAAATATATACCCGGTATAAAACGGGGGCGAAAATTTTCCTTATACATGCAGTACATTGATGGCAAAAAAGCAACTAAACTGAATGAGAAACATGATGATTATGTCTTCTATATATACTGCCCACATCCCTCATTAATGTGGTAACATACCATAACAAATATCACCTGCAAGCATATGGAGTTAACATTTCCCAATTAATTTGAAACGCAAAAAGCATTATCCACGAACGAAAACTCTTTGGTCAATAAAATGACATTGTTTGCAAATGCATTCTATGGTTAAGTCAAATGGTGACTGATCGTAGTGTTTTCGTCTAAATTGCTAAGCCATCATTCTCACACTGGATCATATGTAGTACACTATGATTGTGACTGGTTGACGGGGGTGCTTACTCCTCCTTTTCATAATTAGAGGTTCAGATTGGCTCATTTGTACATTTGAGCTTGAATTCTGTTCGTTATATTCATATTTTATCATAGTAATAACTTGAACCATTTTTCCTTCCTTTTTTCCAGGTTAAAAAAGAAATAAAGAATAGCCTTTCATTTTTGGGGGATAGAAAATCAAAAAATAATGAAGAAAAACATGAAAAAGTAAAAGAAGAACTTGAAAGGTACAGTCCCACCATAGATAGTAAAACGATATTTATGAGCTAAAGTCACTGTACATGTATACAATGTATACTGTAAAATCACTTTTTATTCACAAAAATATATTTCTCGTATATTATAATAGTATTCCTTGGAATAATATAGAGCAATAACCACAATTCGTGAAAATTTTGTCTCGTTTATCAAGAAACTATGACTTATGATCTGGAGAAAATTAGGTGTTGCAAAAATGAAGTGAATTACAGTAGTTTATGTAGGAAGAAGCATATTTGTGCCGTGTGTCCTTGTCATGATCGGGAAATAATGTCAAAATTTCACTGTGTGACGCATCTAGTTAAAGAGCATTGTTTTGTGAAATCTGAGACATTGACTTGTAGTATACTTTTACTTTAATTGTTTGAAAAGAATACGAACATCAATTTCTAAAATATATTTTCAAAATGATGTTTAACATTTTTTGTTGTTCGAAATTCACCCCTTTTATTGTATGTAGTTCATTTATATACTGAAAGGAAAAAGAAACGTATGATAGCATAATAACGAAAAATATTTAACTATGTGGCCGAAAATTATGAAAATTGGTCAGATGTGTATTTTGGTTACTGTGCACTACAATTGCTGGTCAAAATTAATCAACCATGGAATGTAAGGCGTCACGTAGGGGATGTGATAAAAAGCCAAATACACGTGCATGTTGATGATGACAATTTCCTGATCACATTTTGTAGTGCCAAGAGATGCATTAGAGTTATAGACATCGTTTTCCGGAATTTGCAGTCAGTACAAATTTCTTACAATCGTGGTATAGCTGACGGAAGTTACATTGGGTCTAGTAATTGAGTTGCATAAGTGAATATAAGGGCAACAACATGTTGCTGTGCAGTTTTGTTTTTAAGTTTTTAACCAAAAAAGTTTTTTTTCGGTTGTCAGAGAGTAACTTAAAAGGTTTCCAACCAACCATGACGGTGACGTTGGCGCGTAACAACGTCACATCAGGAAAGGGCTTTTTATCATGCCACCTCGGTTATTGTTAGTCATTATCACTGAAACCGATATTTTTACAGCAGACAATCATACTCATATTTTCATCCTAATACCGTCAGAAACTCTCTGCTCTAATTTGGCACGCAAGCTTGGCAACTTTACGTCGAGTTTACTCTCTCACGCGCACGTACGCGCCATATGCGTAATGTTTTTAGCATATTCATGCTGAGAAAATGTAGCCAGTGTTTGTCGAGATTTCCTTACAAACATTCACGTGTACCAAATCAGCTAGATTCTGTAAATTCTATCCTAAATTGATAATTCATGGGATTCATTGGGCGGGGGATTTGTTGGCTTTGGAATAATACAGCTACTCTCAACCATTAAGACTACTTTCGGAAGGCTTGAATGATAATCCTTGAGTCAGATAAATGCTCCGGTGAACTCAATGCACAGGAAAATCAAGGCTCTTACTGATATGCAAGTGAGATGATGAGAATTTTTATTTTAATTTTTGGGGGTATCGACATATCAATTTCAATAACTCAGGAATTATCAGTCAAAGTCTCACAAGATTTCGGTTACTTGTTTAAAGTTGAATTAAAATGTTTGATAACAATACTGGAAAACATATTGGAAATAAAAGTTTTAATATTAGTCAAAAGTTTATTATGCGTTTCTTTTTCCTTTCAGTATAAAACTAATAAAATCTATTTCACGGACATGACGTTATTGAAAAATCTTGAAAAAAAAATAAATTCATGTGATAAAAAATCATTTTTAAAGTCAATTTGATATTTAGAGCCTAACCATACTCATTAGAAAACTAACAACAAAACATAACCATAAGATTCATTTAACACATAAATCCATAGCTTTAATGTTTATGTCAATTATTTAGTGGGAAATATTTGTAACAAATGATATTAAATAGAACTCAGCTGTGTAAATACCAGTACATGGACTAGCAATTTGTATCAATGAGGTATCATATGATAATGTTGAAATCAGCCATTTCGAATTGTATTGCAGTAAACTAAAGGCAGATATAGAAGATCAGAAGAAAAATGAAGAAAGTGAAGATGAAAATGAAAGTGGAGAGGAAAGTGAAGATGAAAATGAAAGTGGAGAAGAAGAGGAAATAGAAGAGGAAGAGGAAAGTGGAGAGGAGGAGGAAAAAACATCAACTGAGGTAAGTATTAAAGAGATTGCCAAGTTCCTTGTTTTTGTAGGTTTCTTATCTTTCTATTTTACAAATCGATGATTAATTTAACGAAAATTAAGATTTAAAAATGGAAATTCTGTGCTTCAGGGCTCTTATATGGAGGGACTTGTTGATTTTAAAGGTGAACAGGAGGGGGATCTGTCGTTTAAACAAGGAGAAAATTTAACCATCATTAGCAGAAGGTGTGTGATATCACTGGAGGTGTTGAACAAGATTTATTTACCATTTAAGGTCATTGGCAACGCAAGGTTTCCGGAGAAAAAAGGTTTATACATAGGTTTTCTCATTTATGAAAAAAAGTAATTGAGAGTGATCTCCCGTATGGAATTCTCAAGGCGCTGAAAACAAATAAAGCATATGTTACAGACTGAGAGGTAAACAAAAGCACGTGTGTTTTTTTATAGGATATATTCAACTCTACAGTAAATGAGTAATAAAAGAAAAGCAGCGATGGGTTTGTTTATATTGTGCTGAGGGGACAGACAGTCAACATGTTGTCATTCGGAATAGGCAAATGGCTGCTGGGAAGTGCAAAGATGTGAAATTATAATGCTGAAATTGGTGATATATAGCTAGGTAGACCAGATGAGAATGATTCTATAGGATATGTGAATGAGGAACCATTAAAAGTTACTATTAATCCTTGCAAAAATGTTTTATGACAGTTCGCTTCCAATAAAGTAAGTTGTAGAATAGAAACAAACAACCAGTCTCTTGATCATTATGAATATTGATTAGATGTTAAGGGAAGTAATTCAAATTTAAAGAACAGTGCTGGTATTTCTGTGTTTTGTTTCAATATTTGCATTTTCAGCCAAAGTATATGCATGTCATCGGAAATAAGGTTTCAACAATGTACATGTATATTATGTATAAACCTTATGAAATAAATGGGTTTTGGAGAAAACGTATGGTTAAAAATAATATAGGCCCATTTTATCAACATTTTACATAGGAAATGCATTGAAAATTGTAAAAACATTGATTTGACAAAATTTATAAAGGAAGACTGGCTTGATGGGTAAAAAGGACCTGAATTGAACCTGTTTGGTACGATTAAACCTGTTCAAAAGATCTTGAAAAATTCTATACGAAAGCCAGAAACATTGCCAATGTCCTTAAGAGATATCTTTATGACTTGATCAGTCGATCCGAGATATGAGATACGATTATATAGGGTTAATATATAAAGTCTAAACAATGATGTTAAGGTCTACCTTGATTTTTACAGAGTGGATGGTTGGTGGGAGGCAGAAAATAAAGATGGAAAAAGAGGACTTGTACCCATGACCTTCCTTAAAGTATCAAAGAATGAACTGCGAATAAGGCATGCCCAAAATCTTTTTTATAATAGAAATGAATAAATCTTAACATTAGCAGAGCAAAATTCGTTATACACCCTGCTTGAACAGTTGGAGGGTAAATATTAATCTGGATGTCCGTCTGCTACACTTTGGGGAACCCATCTCTTATCTGCAACTTCTCTTATACCACCAAATAAAATTTGATGAGACTTTCAGAGAATCTTTAATACATAATGCCATTGTGCACCTCGTAATTTACCTTTTTTATCCGTCACATATTTTGGTTTCCCATAGCAAAACATGGATACTGCCATAATATTCATATGGGAGGCGGGGAGTATCATTTAGTGAGCTCATTGCTCACAGCTAGTTTTTACAAGGTACCATTTCCAAATAATCTGTAAGCCATTTTTTCTTCTTCTTTTGCTGTGAAAATGTTCGTAACAAGTACGTAATCTTCAAAAGAATTCACTCCTTGTGTAAATACATGTACATGGACTAGCAATTTGTATCAAAATTCAGATACTAAGTATTTTTTTTGTATGTCAGAGGTTTAAATTGAAATCAGCTATTTCAAATGGTATTGCAGTAAACTAAAGGTAGCTAGAGAAAAAAGTGAGGAGAAGAAAAATGAGGAAAGTGAAGAGGAAAGTGAAAGTGTAGAGGAAGAGGAAATAGAAGAGGAAGAGGAAAGTGAAGAGGAAAATGAAAGTAAAGAGGAAAATGAAAGTAAAGAGGAAAATGAAAGTGAAGAGGAAGAGGAAATAGAAGAGGAAGAGGAAATAGAAGAGGAAGAGGAAAGTGGAGAGGAGGAGGAAAGTGAGGATGAGGAGAAAACATCTACTGAGGTTAGTACTAATGAGTTTGACACGTTCTTGTCTTTGTATTTTCCTTTATCTTTGTATTTTACAAATTGATGATTAATTTATCGAAAATTAAGATTTAAAAATGGAAATTCTGTGCTTCAGGGCTCTTATATGGAGGGACTTGTTGATTTTAAAGGTGAACAGGAGGGGGATCTGTCATTTAAACAAGGAGAAATTTTAACCATCATTAGCAGAAGGTGTGTGATATATTTGCAGACACGTAGCATCGTTTTTGAAAGTGGGGGGGGGGGGCAACCTGAGAAATTTTTTTTTTACTTACCTAAAAAAAAGTTGACAAGCAAAAAGAAAAAAAATGTACTAACACGAAAATCCTATTTCGTAGAGGGAGGGGGGGGGGGGGGGTGTAGTGGCCAACTTTTTTCCAAGACCAACTTCCTTTCACTTCCAATTTTTTCCTATATTTCCTTGCTATGAATATACTGTGGTAGAAAAGTGGGAGGGGGGCAACCATCTTTTCAATGGACATTTTCTATAGTAAAGGTAATGTTGGGGAAAAAAGGGGGGGGGGGCAGGCCCCCCGGGCCCCCCTGTTGCTACGTGCCTGCACTGGAAGTGTTGAGCACGATTTACACAGGGTTAATATAGATATTAAGTCTGAACAATGATGTTTAGGTATACCTTAATTTTTACAGAGTAGATGGTTGGTGGGAGGCTGAAAATAAAGAAGGAAAAAGAGGAACTGTACCCAAGACCTTCCTTAAAGTATCAAAGAGTGAACCGTGAATAAGGCATGTCCATTTTTTTTTAGTAAGAGTAAAAGAAATGAATAAATTTTAACATTGGCAGAACAAAATGTACATACTGTCTAATCCATTTAACAAGTTTGTAAATGCATTTTTTTAAAGGTACCAGATCCAAATGATCTGTCTCAGACTTGTAGAGTTGATTTTGTATTGGAAACCCTTGACTAGTGAAGATGATAAAAACTGTGTAACAAATGCAAATACTTGAAGCCATATAAAATGTATATAGTAATGGCTATAAAATGCATATCTTTAAGAAATTAGAGTAATGGTTATTGTAATTCAAGACACAAATTCTTGATGTAAAAGTTATGTAATGCATTACTTTACGATGTAATTTGCCCCAAGTCATATATGTATATATTTTTCTCAGTTGCACACCCGTGCAAAAATGTATATAATTATGCAAAAATCAATAATAAAAAAAAAGAAACATGAATATTTGTTCCCTTAAAAAATATTTTCTTAATACTTAGTAGTTAAGAAAAAAAATTGTTTTCCTGTATCTGCAAAATTCAAAAAAAAAATGAAGAAGGTGTCTTTAAATAGCCAATGTTTGAATTTGTAGTTACTTGTGAATAAGAAGGTGAAACGTTGGTATTTTCTGATAAGCTTGCTTTACAATGTAAAGTGAGAAAAGTACCAGCAAAACCTCGAATAAATTCTGATACCTTAAATCGTTGGCTTAGAGGAGCTATTATAAAATACCAGCTATAAATTTAAACCATTAAAGATGTTTCCGTGTGATATCAAAATATTCACTGAAAATCATATCGGTAAGGATCCTGTACACAGCCACGCCAGAAAAGAAGATCTGCCATTTTGTCTCTGTCACTTGCAATTAACATGTCAAACGGTTCACGGTAAGAAACCTTAATTGCCTTCGACGATAGGTACATAAATATATTGTATATACATGACATACAAAATAAAACAGCTAGCCATTGGATAATAAAAGAATATCTCCTATACAAATAATGCAGATTGTTCAAAAAATAACCTTCTTCTTCTTAAACTGTAAGCTGAGGGGGGATGTAAAAAGTAAGCGAATGCAGAAAGGGATTGATTGCATATTGTTTAACGTCCCTCTCGAGAATTTTTCACTCATATGGAGACGTCACCGTACGCCGGTGACACGGGGCCTCGGTTTTTAATGTCTCATCCGAAGGACCCACAACTTTCACTTCAAAGTGCCGAGCGCATGGCGATGGAACAGTTGCTACCTATTTTAACGACTAGGTCAGTCGAGGCCGAGATACGAACTCACGACCTCCCGATCACGGAGCGAGCGCTATACCGACTGAGCTACCGTGAAGGGTGCAGAAAGGGAAGAGCGTTCAAATATGAACACAATGTAAATGGTGAACACTTGATGAATTCAAGATGAACAGCTACGTAGGTATTTGACCTACCAAAAGTAGCTATTTTTAACTACTTTTTGCTTTATTTACATTTTGTGACCTTGTGCAGGGGGCAGTGTCTCACGACCTGCAATGGCCTGACGCCCCTTTTCTCCACTTGTCCGGGTAGAGACATCGTATCAAACCACGGTCCGGAGTCCGCATAAAGCTTTCTCCTACCCGTGGCTGCTTGATCATAAAAAGTGTCATAATCTTGAATATTTACGTCTCTCTAATGTGACGTCATATTCAGTCAGTGGGAAGTTTTGTTTCTATCGCAACAATTGACATCAACAGTATACAAGGAATATTTCGTAAACTGCGATTGAATATTAAGGAGGAACAGGACCTTTCGCTGAAAAAATTCCTGTCAATGAATTTTTTTCGTATTTTTTATATTACTAATTTAATATGTACTTAACATTTTAAACGGTCCTGTCATGGGATTTCTTGACTTATTTAAAAGATATCGACCCGCAAATACCGCCCTGTTTAGAGTTTGTATGGCGCTTAGATACTTCATGTTTACGGGCCCATAACAGAGTCCGTAATGCGAATTTTTACGCACAAACGATAAATATGATAGATAACACTATATACTCAAATATTTCAGAATATTCATAGTGTTTAAATTATCTGAAAGCAATTGATTTAATTTTATATAGTATTTGGTTGGGATAATTTCTGCATTTTTCAAGGCAGCTTCAACGACAAAAACCTCATTTGGAAAAAATTCTGTCAATAAATATTTCTAAATTTATGATTGAATGTCAGTCCTTCATAGTAATTATTTACTGCATAAATATCACAGGGTGAAGCTTACCTCAATGTCGCACGAGACATCGTTGAATTAGACGTAAGCATGATAAAAACGCTTCACGTTTGTATTTTCCGAGTGCGGGAAACCAATTGTGACGTCACACAAAAACATAAACATTCAAAATTATCTAAATAGAGAGAATCTCTGGTACTAAACACAGAAAAGTATTCATTTAAAAAAAATCTGCTTCAGAAATTTATCAAGATACATTGACTGTGACCTGTTTATTATGAAATAAAACTGATCATGACGGGTGTGTGTACTTGATCTCGCTGCACTGAGAATTCAAACACTACGTCTATGACGTCACTGACGTCAGACTGCAGGGTAAAGAGAAACAAATGTGTGGATTGGGCAACATCACAATATCTAAATGATGCCAAGATCTTTAAAAATTTTATTAATTATAATTTCTAAAATTAAATGTTTAAAAAACAATTTTATAATTTAGAATAAAATTACACAAGAACTATTGATTTTAACTAAGTTAAATATGTATATCATCACTGATTACGACGTAATATGTCTTTATAGTCATGTGACATGTTCCCTGTCTCCCCTTAAAAGGTCGCGATAAAGTTCATCATCCGACTATGCTTTACTCGCATTGGTCAATATTTTAATGAGCTACAAAGAATTCTCTCCTCGTTCAACCACGACCAGAATGGGAGAGGATCGAACATTTTGGCCGTGGTTTGCGACGATGGGGTAGAGAGAACCTGTATCCCTTTAGGAGAGCACTCTCTACACAATTAAAGCGCTGAAAGGTCTTAATCTGCATTGATTGGGGGATTGCCTACCTATAACGCAAGTAAAGACTGTGCACCGGCGGACTCTGCAGAGGAAACCGTCATGGTTCACAAAAAAGAAGGCGGACATAGCAAGCACCGTGGAATGCTTGGAGCAAGGCACATATAGCACGTCTTGGTCATCCACTGCATATGTCTCCATCTCCAGACGTCTTGACATCTATCTTGCCACTGGATCTAGATGGTTGCGGACGAGAGAGTGATGTTGGCGCAACCCTTCTTCACTTTAATTAAACTCATCGCGCAAGTCTTTCATCCACCCAAAAGACCTATGGCGACAGGCAAGCAACGAGGGTGACAGGTGCAGGTACACTTTAAGTCGCTAGTCGCGGACCTGACCACAGGCGGCGCAGGCCATAGGGTCGCTCTTCACTGACCGGAGCAGCGTTGGAGTTCGGTAGCCACTTGTGCGACTAAGCAGCTCTCTTTAAGAACGCACTGCTCACCTCCATGGCAAGAGGAGCGGATTAGAAAAGGTATCCCAAACATTTTCTGCTCCATACTTCTCTAGCCAGTTTAACGCGGCTGGTCGGGACCCTACACATGCAGTCGAAATAATAAAGAGAACAAGAAGAAAACAAGGATCATCAAACTGTACCTTGGATCGTGGAACGTTCGAACGCTTCTCGACAGAGACACTACAAACAGACCTCAGAGACGCACAACACTGATTGCGAGCAAACTCGCGAGATATAACATACTTTGCGGTTCTCGGTGAAAGCAGGTTGGCTGGAGAAGGTGAAATTTGTGAAAGAGGGGCTGACTACACCTTCTTTTGGAGTAAACGAGAAGCCAAGGAGAAGCGAGAAGCTGGTGCAGGCTTTGCTATAAAGACGATACTTACTGGCAATCTAGTCGGCGTATCCAAAGGAGTGAACGACCGCATGATGACGATGAGATTCTCCCTCACTGGAGGGAAGTTCGCCTCTATGGTCAGCGCATAAGTTCCTACCCTGACTAACCCAGAGGAGAATAAGTTCTATGAGGACCTCCCCAATGTCATCAATGCCGTCCCCAACGCCGACAAGCTCATCATTCTTGGTAAATTTAATGAGAATTTTCACCTAGGAAGGCGTGATTGGGAAGCATGGAGAAGGCAAGTACAACAGTAACGGCCTGCTGCTTCTCAGGACCTGCGCTGAACATGGCATTTTCATCACAAACACCGTTTTCTGCCTTCCCACCTATAACAAGACGTCATGGATGCATCCTCGCTCAAAGCACTGGCATCTCATTGACTACGTCATTGTCTGGAAGAGAGACTGACTGGACGTTCGTGTCACCAAGGCAATGTGCTGTGCGGAGTTATGGACAGATCGTCGTTTCATCGTCTCTAAACTCAACTTCCGAACAAACCCAAGATACTTCCTCAGGGGACCAAAACGTCTCCAAGTTGGCAATCTCAAATTGCCTTCCGACTTTCAGTACTTTGTTGACACCCTGGAAGAACGCCTGAACTCCAGTGTGCTGGATGACCACGACGTGGACGCAGCATGGAGCACACTTTGGAATACAGTGTACAATACAGTATTCGAGTGTCGGGGGCCCTCCACCAGAAAACACAAAGATTGGTTTTAATGAGAACTGTCCAGAGATTACGCAACTTCTGGAGGACAAGCATTGCGCTTACAAAGCTCATATTGATAATCCTACCTCCACAGCCAAGAAAGACGCTCTGAGGAACACTCACTGCACAGTACAGCAAAAGCGTCGGGATATGCAGGTCTCCTGTTTAGTGCCAAAGCTGACGAGATCCAACGCTACGCCGACTCTCTTGACATGAAGAACTTTTACTGTGGACTGAAGGAAGTCTACGGGCCAACTCCATCAGGCTCATCCCCTCTCCTCAGTCCGAACGGGTTAACACTCATCACAAAAGATACTCGACAGGTGGGCGGAGCATTTTAATGGCGTTCTGAACCGCCTTCTACCATCAACGACGTGCCATCAACTGACTGCTCCAGGTTCCCATCAACCAGTCAATGGACGCCGTTCCCACGCTGGAAGAGATCCAGAAAGCCTACTGTCAACTGGCAAAGCACCTGGCGGAGACTCCATCCCAGCTGAAATTTACAAAGAAGGGGGCATGGCTCTAGTCGAAAAACTCCACCATCTTTTTGAGCTCATTTGGAACCAGGAGAAGGTGCCTCAAGACCTCAAGGATGCCCCAATCATCCA